CTGCCAAATCGCAAACTTGATGGTACTTCCAAAGTGGCTGCCGTAACTTCGTGATTTTCGCTCACACTGTCGATGGTGCTGCGTCACCAGGATGAGAATGTGTAGCAAATGACATTCATAACAACAATGACGTCAACACTTGCATTGCCGATAGTATCCAAAGCGCAGTACCTGCATTCCCAACGAAATCGTGTGGTTGTAAAGAGGCCTAAGCCGATCATTTTCGAACTTGTTTACTACCGACTGTAGACAGAGTCCTGTTATGGTCACAGAGGTTTCGTCTCCACAAACTCCTTTTCGACAACCATCTTTTGTAGTCTTCCGTTTCACCACCAGTCCAGCTGTCCTTTGGACTCAACAAGTTGTGTTTCCTGTGGATGGAATTGGACGCAAAGCAGAATAGACAAAGCCTGATGAGACGAAACTAGGACTGTCGGTACGATGGAGACAATAGACCACCAGCAAATGCTTTACAATGGTGTCAGCTAATCGGTTAGCCATGGCGGCCGACTGCATGTTGTACATGTGCTTTCGCGGAGATGGTGGTGGGAAGATTTGGGCAACTCGGGTTTGTCTGCACTGTCCTCCGCGCCCTTTCGACCCATCGGAATATTGTAATAATTGCAATGTAAATAATTAATCCGCCTAATCACAAATCATCAAATGCGCTCTGCATTAAAACACTGCATGTCTTGTTCCCATTCCAGAATGACTATTTTCAGTTGTCAATTTTGAAGCCTTATGTGTAAATCTAATGCATATATTGGCAGTGGCCACCATTACCTCCCACCCTTTCGCAATTGAGATCGAGCAAATTGGCTTAGGGTGGCTGAAGCAAATGTTCTGTTGATGCAAAATCAACTACTTTCGTCTAAGTTAACACTGCCTCAGGGGAAGAGTGAAAGACTTAGGAAAGTGTGAAAAGACGTAGGGAACTACTGCGGCCCTTCTGGCATCCGTACCTCGTGTTTGGATAGTAATTTGCTCTTTAACAAAACCTCGACTTCTCTAAGCACCATCTGGTGCCGCAACATCCGTAAGAGAGCTGGTCGACATTAAGTTAGGGCGATTCGTCATCACGTCTGCATCCCTCCCACCCATATCAATTCGCAGCATTCAATTGCATCCGTTTAATGGTGAGATTTGTTTGGCTTGAGGACGAGTCTACAAACCATTTGATGCCAAGTCGAGCATGAGACTGCGTTGCCACCTAAGACACGCATTTATTGAAGGGAGAACGCCAGATGTAACAATGGGAACTGCAGCAGGTTTACTTATTTCCAACGTCTCAACACTAGGTGAAAGAGTTAATGACAGCAGCATTGGAGGCTGTTACCTACTCCTACTTTTGCATTGACAACACCATTTTCATTGATGACAGGATTACTACCCTTGCGCATTTGCACTGCTTGTGGTAAGGTGCACTGGAACAGCCTCTTCTGGAATGAGT